TTATTATGGTATAGTATTTAAATATATGCCTGAGAAACTCATAATATTGGCCCTTTAAAATATAAACTTTAACATTTAGTCACAATGTTTACATGTAACTTTTGACATTTAGATTTAGGATTTAACTTTTAGTAAACAAAATGTAAAAACAGTGAGCTACAAAACAATAAAATGTTAGTGGATATTTGTAAAGTTGTATTTTACACTCAAAGTGAGCTAAATAATGAAAATGTGATATTGTGAAGAGATATTTTTAACATTTTATTTTACACTTGGCACCCCATACTCTGCGACCCAACATTTTATATGAAAAATAAACGAAAGTGGTGGATGGATGACAAAATCTCATGTGTGAAAACACTATTTCACACTTATGCTGTGGTTTTTTTTTTTGTAGATACAATAGAAATGGACAAAACCTGTTTTTTTAGTAGGACAATGGCAGCAAAATAGTTAAAACATGTAGCTATTTAAATTATATAAACTATAAAAGGAAAGAAAAAATAATAAAAACAGCACAGTTTGACAACTTACTTCCGTTTCCGGTCACGTGAGCTCGTTGCTTTGGCAACATTTTAGTAACAAAAAGGGCAAAAAGATGGAGAACAGATCGGTCGGGCGTTTCTACAACACTCTTACAAAGTTTAAAGTTTACGAGGATTATCTGGACTCTAAAGTCACCCCGCTGGATTTATTTTATTTACAGGTGAGTTCATTAATTTAAATTTATTTTAGTTAAACGTCGTTATTGTTTTTTTTTTTTTTTTGTTGTTGTTAGTAGGCCTAATATTAGTAAAAATGACTGAATCAACTTTTTTCTAACCTTTCAAATCCACCAATATGTCTTTTTTAACTTCATGCACCAAACTAACAACAAAACATCACTTTTACCACAGTTTGGAAACACCAAATGCCTGTATTTCTGTCAGCTGAAGAAATGATTTTAGACTCCTAAAACACGTTGTAGCTTTTCAAAACTCGTTTTTTACCAAGCTAGTTGTATGCCGAATTGAACATCATATCCATAACTTTGTAAAATTAACTTAATTCTCTATTTATGAGTCATTTCTTTAAAAAAAAGTAAGTCGAGAAATATTATTTCGCTACATTTTGAACGGAGTTCTGCGCATGGTGAGTCCTTTAGTGAAAGAAACTTTCAGGACATGTTTTTTTTGGACTTTATTTTCTTTAAATTAAAAAAATAAACGTTAATATTTATATTGTATTAATATTGTTGGTTTTAATTTAATGAAAGTAAAAATAAAAGTCAATCGGTCTGAGTAGCACAGCGGGAAACACTTGTTGTTGGTGTAGTACCTATCTTTGTCCGATAGATGGCAGTCACACACAGGTTTAAACTTTACCTGCACTTTATGAACATTTAGTCTTATTGTTTCTGCAGAACACGTTTTATTGTAATTATAGGACACATTATCAACCTGTCTAAGCTAATTTATTCTTTATGTTTTATTTTTTCTTCATAAAATACTGTTCTAGATTCAAATGTTTAACAAAATATCTCATCTCACGAGTTAAATTTTATTAAAACCTGCAGAAAGTTATTATTAACATATTATATTTTGAAGCAAACTTAATTTAAGATGGCCGGCACAGCCAAGTGAGCTTAAAAATCACAAAGTGGTTATAACAAAGTCAATTTTACAAATATTGAGATAAGATTTGTTTTGTTTTTTTTCTTCTTTTTTCGATGATTACAAAAAAAAAGAGATTAAATTTGTTGTGATATTAGTGATAGTGGATATTTTGGACATAAAATAATGAAAATAAAGTTATCAAACTACAGAGAAGGAGGGTGCTGGGTCAGCAGGAGTCTGGAGTCCTGCTTCGGTCCAGCAGACGGCGCAGTCGCTAACGTTAAAGGGAAACGGCAGCAGCTGTTTGTTTGAACACCTGTGTCCACAGAGAGAAAAGAGCAGCTCATACCTGACCTGATAATCTGCTGCAGTCAATCTCGATCAGCCTCGGCCCCCTCTTGGTGTCGTGACACGACGGGGTCACCGCAGGTCGTCCAGCCTGTGCCTTTTAACTAAATCAGCTCATTCGACGTTTATTTTCACATTTCAGAAACTTTGTCGTTTTTTTTTCATACGTCCACTCTTAAAAAATGAAGACAATGACTTTCAGGGCAGTTTTAGGGCCGGCACACGCCTGCGACTCATTTCTGGTGAGCCACATCAAAGCTGAAGGAAAATGTAAAGTTTTCCTGTCGGGGTGCGGACGCAGGCCCAGCTGCTGGGACTTCGGCTGAGTGGACATGTGGCAGCTGCTTTGATCTAACAAGCCACTGGATCTGACAGCGAGATTAGCTTTTTTACTTGATGTCTTTATGTCTTGGCTCGAGTGACGGTGGGCCTGCAGACAGAGATTAGACAAAAAGAGCTCTGCAAACACACTGAACCCTTCAAAATAAAAGCTCGTGTTGAATGAGTGGTCGTGTTTCTTGTAGTGTGGGCGCGGTGGTCTAAAATCTCTAATTCGTGTTCCTGATTTTTCGTGTTTCAAAGACATTAAATTCACGGCCTCCTCTGACCCGTCACCTTGTCTCCCTCAGAGCCGGGAGTTGGCCCGTAAGCTGGTGGAGCACGGCCACAAGGGACCGGTTCTGAGCCGCCAGGACTTCCAGGAGAGGAAGGCAGCTGCACAGGCCAAACCGAGCGGCGTTTTCTACAGCTGCAGCCGAGCAGTGTGAGTTACCCTCCTCAGCTTCTCAGCATCGCCTGTCATGATCTGCAGAGGAGGGGGGGAGGGGGGACTCAAAACAGCCAACAGCTAAAGGCTAAAAGATCCAGAGCATGATGCTGAGTTTGGTTCAGAGTTAGGGCTAATGTAAAGCCAAAAGTAGCAACAAGCTAACTAAAAAATAACAAGAAAAGCTAACAAAAAACTTAAAGCAGCATAATGTTAGCTGAAAACGAAACATAGTTAAAGGCTAACTGTAAGCCTTTAATTGGTTAGTGACAGCTGAAGTAGTAAAACACCAAATAAAGGTAAGCAAAAAGCTTACTAAAAATAWCAAGAAAGGAAAACTTAAAGTAGTGAAATTTTAGCTGAAAACTAAACATTGTAAAAGGTTAGCTGTAAGCATCAAAAGGACAGCTGTAAGCTAAAGTAGTAAAACATTTAAAACCTATGATTAGCAAAAAGCTAGTAAAGGTAAGAGAAAAGGTAAACAAAACAAATTTAATGTAGCAAAATGTTAGCTAAAATGTTAGCTAAAAACTAAACGTGCTAGCTGTAAGCATTAAATGGCTAGCCACAAGCTAAAGTAGTAAAACACTAACTCTGATACAAAAGCTTGTAAAAAGCAACAAGGAAGACTAACAAAAGCTAAAAGTAACAAAATGTTAGCTAAAACTAAACACAGCAAATCAAATGGCTAGCTAAAACCTAAAGTAGTAAACACTAACTAAAATCTACAATTAGCAAAAGGCTAGCTAAAAGCAACAGAACATGTAAACAAAATATGTAAGCTAAAAGATAAACGTAGCAAAAGGGTAGCTGTAATCATCAAAAGGCTAGCTAACGGCTAGCCTTCCAGCTACCTAAAGTAGGTAGCTAAAGCAGTAAAGCGCTAACTAAAAGCTACACTTAGCAAAAAGCCAGCTAAATGTAACAAAAGCTAAACAAAAAACTTAAAGTAGCAAAATGTTAGCTAAAACTATACACAGCAAAAGGGTAGCTGTAAGCATGAAATGGCTAAAGGCTAAAGTAGTAAAATACTAATTAAGACTTCAAGTTAGCAAGAAGCTAGTCAACAAGGCTAACAAAAAACTGACAGTAACTAAATAGAAGTATCAAAAGACTATCTAGAAACTAAATGTTGCAAACACTAGCTAAAATCTAAAAGGCTCGCTAAAAACTAAAATGATCAAAAGATAGAAAAAGGTAGCTAAATGCTAATAGTAGCAGAACAGTAGCTAAAAGTTTCAATCTGCTAGCTAAAGTAGCAATCTCAACAGTTTATTGAAGAAATGCATATCGCCTGCTGCCAAAAATTTTAAAGAGATCTCCTGATTAAATAACCTTTGCGTTTTTAAATAAACTGTTTGTCTGTTAGCAAAATATCTCATGAACTACTGCACAGATTTGAATGAAACTCTTGAAAATAATCTTTGTTCATGAATGAACAGATGCTGAGCTCAGATTTGATGTGGTAGTAACTGAGCATCGTTCCAAACAGACCGCTGTGAGTCGGCTGATTCACAGGAAGGAGTTTCAGTTTAAGACTATTTTTTTTCCTGAATAAGCAATCTGCTGCGAAACATGAAATAATTATTTTTGGCTGCAGTTTTTTAAGCTCAGCTCACATCATGTGATTATTTTCTTTATTTTTCTTCATAATTTTATTCTCTGTAAAAAACGGGATTAATGGAGGCACTTCATCATCTCCACTCAAGCACTAATAAGACCTGGTGTGTGACGGTCGCCATCAACAGGCCGAAACACAAACCGAACGGTTCTCTGAGGGAACCGATCGCTCACATGTTCTCAGTTTCAATGAAGCCGTGCGTTTGTGAGTTCTTCTTTGGTGACGAGCCAGAACAGAGGATTCGGACCCCGCAGCCCCCCTCGCACAGGGCTCCGTCGGATCCAAACATTTACCTGCGAGGTGTCGAATTTGATCGAACCCTCAGATGTTTATCCAAACGTGCGGATGTGTCACGGCTGGCCCCTCCCCTCCGAATGCCCGTGAACATCAGTGACACAGGTGAAACGGGAGCCTCCACACCTGCACTCACAGTCATATTAGAGCACAAAGCCTTTTATCTTGTCCCAACAGGATCCGGGGAAATGTTCTGCAGGAACATGGGGAACGTCAGAACAACAAAGAGCTCCAGCAACGCAGCTTGTTCATAAAACCTGCGGTCATGTTTTAGGACCGTTTAGTAGAAAGACAACACAGCTGAAAAAAGTAGTTCCAGATCCATTAATGTACATAAATATGTAAAGAAAAACCAACTTTTAGAAAGTTTTTTCTCACTTTTATTCACTGTTCAATCATTCTTTCATTAGTTTAGCAGAATAATTTTATTAACCAACATGTTTTAAACACTATTATGTTCTAAAAAAACAACTTTTCAACAAACTGTTGACGATAAAAACAGAACAAACTAAATAAAAATGTCTCTTAAATAACACTCCAATAAATTATTAAAATGTTAGCTAAAAACTAAACATAATAAAAGGCCGTAAGCAGCAAAAGACTAGCTAAAAGCTAAAGTAGTAAAACACAAACTAAAAACTAAAATGATCAAAAAGCTAGCTAAAAGTAACAGAAAAGGTACATAAATAACCTTGAATGTTAGCTAAAAACTAACCATAGCAAATGACTAGTGTAAACATCAAAAGACTAGCTAAAAGCTAAAATAGTAAAACTCAAACTAAAAAATTAAAATGATCAAAAACCTACCTAAAGGTAAACAGGACAGACTAACAAAAATCTAAAAGTGGCTAAATGTTAGCTTAAAACTAAACTAGCTGTAAACATCAAAAGATTAGCTAAAAGCTAAAGAAGTAAAACACTAGGTTAAAAACTAAAAATGATCAAAAATCTACCTAAAGTTAACAGGAAAGACTAACAAAAAGCTAAAAGTAGCTAAAGATCACAGCTAACATCAAAAGACTAGCTATAAGCTAAAGTAGTAAAACACTAACTAAAAACTAAAATGATCAAAAAGCTAACTAAAAGTAACAGAAAAGGTGCATAAATAACCCTGAATGTTAGCTAAAAACTAACCATAGCAAATGACTAGTGTAAACATCAAAAGACTAGCTAAAAGCTAAAGAAGTAAAACACAAACTTAAATTAAAATGATCAAAAACCTACCTAAAGTTAACAGGAAAGACTAAAAAAAAGCTAAAAGTAGCTAAATGTTAGCTAAAAACTAAACTAGCTGTAAGCAGCAAAAGACTAGCTAAAAGCTAAAGAAGTAAAACACTAACTAAAAATTAAAATGACCAAAAAGCTAGCTAAAAGAAACAAAAAAGGTACATAAATAACCTTAAATGTTAGCTAAAAACTAAACATAGCAAATGACTAGTGTAAACATCAAAAGACTAGCAACAGGCTAAAGTTGTAAAACACTAACTAAAAGCTACAATTATCAAAAAGCTAACTGCACAGATGTACAATAATTGAAAAACTGATCGGATTTTATGAAAAGGATTTAAAACATTCATTAGACATTTATTTATAGATATTTTCTTATCTTCTCTCCAGCTTTCTGAGGCCCCTTAGTGACCCTCGGTGGCCCCCCAGGAGGCCGCAGCCCCTACGTTGAAAACCACTGTTGTAGCTGTTAAACAGTTCTGAGTTTTCAAGATTTATTTATTTATTTATTTATTTATTTATTTATTTGTTTGTTTGTTTGTTTGTTTGTTTGTTTGTTTATTTGTTTATTCCAGATCAGGGTAGAAATTGTTCAGAAGCATGGATGTAATTTTTCCAGCTGCTCAGACAAGAGGCACTAATGCACCTCCATACCATCAGAGAGGCAGGCTTTTGACCTGATAACCTGATTTTCAATCAGATTTTCAGATTTGGGTCCGTCTTTGCTTCAGTCCGTTTTAAATGTTCAGAGCTGGTGTTCACATCTGACGTCTTCTTTGTCTGATAGAGCTTTAAGCAGCATTATTGGACTGTGTTCGCAGACAGTCATGTGTGAGTCCATGAAGTCCACCTGGTTCTGAACCAGACCTGAAGTTAACGACGATCCAATCCTGACTTTCAGGCTTTGAGCTCAGATTTCTTCAGATTATAATAATCTGATGATGAGATTAAGAGCTGGAGATGATGCAACAACAAAAGTCTCCACAGTTTTCCTGTGCGGAGGACAAACATGAAAGGATGTCCTCTGAAGTGTTACGCTGTCGTTTCAGGTTTTAGATGCAGTTTAAAAAGTTCTTCTGTTCAAACTTTAAACTTTAAAATAAACGTTGGACAGAAGCAAACATCTGTTAACAGTTTGCTCTGCAGGCAGAGGAACCCCTCGTGTGTTTTTACACGATTATTCTTTTTTCCTTCCTGTCGTCGTGGTGATTAACAGCTGTGTTTTGGTGTTGAAAGAAAAAAACACTTTGAATTCGATGAGTTCCTGTTGGAGGTAAGTGATAGCTCGTAGCAAACCGGTGACAGATTTTCTAATTAATTTAACTCAAATAATCACGTCTGACGCACCTTTTTTTCAAAGTTTTTTTTTATTATTTTTAACAAAACACAAACAAAAAAACAAACCAAGAAAAACACACACCCCTGAGAACCCTCCCATCCCTCCCCACCTATACCGGATCTGCTAACAAAACATAAATACATCTTGTATTCATGTATCAGACAAAACAAACACAGGTTTGTGTACAAAGAACCAATATTTAAACCTTTACACAAAGTTATCTGTTGAAGTTTTCTCCACGTAGGATATAAATGGCTGCCAGATGTCAAAGAATTAGTTGACAGATCTTTAACAGTATATCTAATCTTCTCTGAATGAATGTAAGACATAACTTCTCTTAACCAATGACCATATACTGGAGGATGTGGATCCTTCCATCGAAGAAGAATAAGTCTTKTAGCCAGTAGAGAGCAGAAAGCTAACACCGTCCTCTGATGTTCACTGAGGGAAGCCTCTGCTGGAGCCACCCCAAAGAGAGATGAATGGTGATGGACGAACAGTTCGTCCAAATAGTCC